GTGCGGCAGACCTCTCCTGACCCACCCGCTGCTCCCCTCAGCAGTGTATTTCAGTGGATCTGCCTGTTTTGTTCCCCATTCTGTTTCTGGTAAATCCTCTCACCCACCACACTTCTGACCTGTACCCCAGTTCTATAAGCATAAATAAATAAATCTTTTTTAAAAATAATAAAATAAAACAAAACCTGTGGGAAGCCCAAGGATATTACAGCTGAAATGAAAAAAATGTACAAAATGAAGACTGATGTAAAAAAATAAAAAATATTAAGCAAACAAAAAAAGAAATGGTAACTTCTTGATTTAATTATTTTAAATTTAATTAACATTTTTATTAGGTATTATATTCATACATTTCAAAATTAGAAAACTATGGAAATTTAACTTTTTAAAGTTCTTTCTGCTTTCCTACTCAGTTTTCTTTCTTGAGGCAATATATACTTTAATTTTCTTCCATATACCCTACAGACATAATCTGGCAATGATGTTTTTTTTTCCCTCCCCTCCACCCTTATCTTTAAAAAAATAAGTTGACTCTTTAATGTTAAAAAAACAAATTCTGGGGCTCTCCCTGGTGGCGCATCATGAAGCTCTCTGAAGCCACTGTAGCACAAGTTCAGTCCCTGGCCAGGGAGCTGACTCACATGGAGCAGCAGACCTCTTCTGACCTGCCCACTGGTCCTCTCAGCAGTGTGTTTCAGTACATCTGCCTGTTCTGTTCCCCACTCTTCCTCTGGTGAGTCCTCTCACCCACCACACCTCTGGCCTGTACCCCATTTCTGTAAGCATAAATAATAAAAAATAAATCTTAAATTAAAAAAAAATAAAAAAAAAACAAATCCTGTGGGAATATATAGATAAATAGAAATAAATGATATTCTCAACATAAAAGCATTATGGATAAAATGTAAAGCCCATTACGATGAGGTTAGAACTCCCATTTTTTCAGAAAACAACTTCTGCACATCAATTTTTTTTCTGTAGAAGAACTGGGGTTTGGGCTCTCCCTGGTGGCACAACAGGTTAAAGCACAGCACTGTGAAGCTATCGGCAGCCTCTGAAGCATGAGTTTGATCCTCGGCCAGGTTGCTGACACACATGGCACATCAGACCTCTCCTGTCTTGCCCACTGTTTCCCTCAGTAGTGTACTTCTGGCAATTTGCCTGTTCTACTCTCCACTCTGTCTCTGGTGAATCCTCTCAGTCCTTGCACCTCTGGCCTACACCCCAACTCTTGCATGCATAAGGAAATCTTAAAAAAAAAAGTGTCTATAAATTCTATACCCAGATGAAATATGATAAAGAAAAAACATTTTTTCCCTTCAAACCAAAATCTGTCTCAGATGAAGTATATTTCCCCAACGAATGAT